AGGGGGAGCTGACACGAGCGGCGCTCCAGCAGAAGTCTCAGGAGGAGCTGCTGAAGCGCCGGGAGCAGCAGTTGGCCGAGCGGGAGATCAACGTGCTGGAGCGGGAGCTGAACATCCTCATCTTCCAGCTCAACAAAGACAAGCCCAACGTGAAGAAGCGAAAAGGCAAATTCAAACGCTCCCGCCTCAAACTGAAGGATGGAAACCGCATCAGTCTGCCCTCAGGTCAGTGACGTCAGGCGAGGCTGCTGACAGGAAGTTTGATTCTGTCAGAGGCCGTTGTTAATTTAAATAATGATTAAATTAAGAAAAATACAAATTTTAAAGTTTATTGTGTTTGTCAGACTTTCAGCACAAGATCACAGTGCAGGCTTCACCTTCTATGGACAAGAGGCGGAGCCTCCACAGCACCAGCTCCTCTCCACCCAGCAGTCCCACGCTCATCCCGCGGCTACGTGCGATTCAACGTAAGTTCAGAATTAAAGAGTTAAAGGCAATGATAATCTAGTCAATAATCAGTCTTTAAATGTGAAGGTAAATAAAAGAGTTGAACCTCAGTCACATCAGCATCTGAACATGTCACTGAATAAATTATTACATATTACAGATGTTTTTTCCTGGCTGAGATGAAAGTTTTACAAACCTTTTTTGAGCCACGTACATATATATATCATCAGAAAAATCCCCACGGCACCAAACAAAAATGAAATATAATAATCTTCCAGTTTAGTTGAAGACAACACTTTTATTTTTAAATTTTTTTTAGCTATGTGCTGCCACCTAGCGAAGAGTATTTAATTGCTCTGCCTGTCACGCATTGACAAACAAAGAAGAAATTATTTGCAATAATTAATAATTGTTCTCAGAGCAGTTAATCGTGTCTTCAGGCGGAGTCCTGACTTGTCCGGGGTTTGTCACAGATTAAATGTTTGTTTTGTTTTCCTCAGTGACGTCCCTCACACACAGGGACGGGTTGTATGTTTACCAACAGGATGTTGATCTGACCAGCGAGCTCTCGTCGCACTCTGAGCTCAGAAGGAAAGGCAAGAGATTCAGTTGAATCAGTGTGGACTCCAACAGCACCATGTGCTGAGTCTGGTGTTTGGTTCACGCTAACAACCAGGAGGGGGCGCTGTTTCACAGCCTTCTGTCAGTTCCAACGCAGTTCCACTGTGGTTTCTGCTGTTTTTCCTAATAGGGAGGGAGGCAGGGAGTTGTTGGTTTTCTGCTGGTTCTTAACAGGTTTCTGTTTTTGGTGGATCCTCACTTCTCTTGACTCACAGTTCTCACGTTCTCTACTCAAACACTCTGCCATAACAGCAAGGTTCTAATACCTTTTTATTTATTTATTTCCTCCTGATTCTGTGTGGTGACACTGCTGTTCTCCTCTGTAAACAGTTACTCAAGATGAGAGCAACCGTACATGGGGCCGCAGCGCCCTCTGCAGGCAAGAGGAGCTTGATGACGTGAAGAAGGGAATCAAGAAGAAGGGAAGAACCTGGGGCCCCAGTTCAATACAGGGCAAAGAACGGCCCGCCACTGCTGAGAGGTAGAACCCCCCCCCCAAAATAATTGGTAGAAATAATCAAATTGTTAAATAAGAAGTTGGTTTATGTAATTAATGATCCAATCATCAATAGTCACGGTTTCATCAGAGAACAATGTTCTGTCAACACATTCCTTGTAAAAAATACTGTGTTAATTAATATTGACAGGCTTGAAGAGGGGCTCAGGTCAGAGGTCACAGGTGACTGCAGTTGTTATTCACTCATTATTAATTCATTATTAATTTATTTCTGTCTGATGTCGTCAGGGTTCGTCCTCTGTCCGACGGCAGTAATCCCTGGTCCACCAGTCTGGTCAAGTCCCAGAAGTCGGTTCCTCTCTCCGCCCTGTTTGCTGAACAAGGTTGACATTTGACTTATGTTTGTTTCATATTACTGACTTTTTTTTTTTTTTTTTCATCGAGAGGAAAAATATTGTTGTAAAAGAAATTGTCAAATGTTTTTCCTCTTCCTCCCACATGTGTTTTTTAGCCGGTTCTGGAAAAGATGAGGCGTTTGTCCTGGAATGTCCTGACAACAGTTCCAAACCAAAGCAGCACAAGTTCCCTAACCAGGTGTACATCGATCTACCTCTGTGGAGGGACGAGCAGCCGCCGCAGAACCTCACTGGTCACTGCGGAGAACCCGGAGTCGGGGCCGCCCCGGCAGAGACCCCCGATGACCCCTGCACCACCACTTCCACCTCCTCCACCTCCACCACTCCGCAGCACACCCCCACCAACAGCCTCAAACGCACCACGGCTCGCCGGAAGACGGACTCGGTGCTGTACGGCTGCGGGTCCATGCTGGCGTCGGTGGTGCTCGGCTACGACATCAGAGAGGCTCTGAAAACCACCGCGCACGGAGAAGACGGCGAGTCTCCACGAGAGGAGAAGGAGAAGAAGAAGAAGGAGGGTCTGTTCCAGCGCGCCACAAGGTTCCGGCGCAGCACCTCGCCGCCGGGCGGTCGCTCGCGCAAAGATGAGGTTTCGTCCAACCACACCTCCACCCAGCCGGTCAATCTCATCTCCATGTCCTCCATCCTGGAATGCAACTCCTCCAAGTGTCTCCTCCAGTCTGAGGTGGAGGCGTCAGAACCTAAACCGCCAAAAGCTGATGTGGTGGCTGTCAATCATCTGGTGGCTGTCAATCATCTGGTGGCTGTCAATCATCTGACCGAGGCTCCCAGACCTGGGTCAGGGTCAGCAGAACTCCAGGTGAACCGGACTACAGCTAAAACACCGACGGCACCGACCCAGAGTCAGCAGCAGGAGCAGAGCAACCACAACTCGGTGCCACGACTGCGCAGAAAGAAGTATAACACACACCACAACAGTGAGTGACACACGGTGGCCAGAGATAGGTACTGCACTGGAAAAAAGGTTGTTTCAAACGAACTATATGTGGTGTAAAATATAATGTGTTGGCAAAAATCTGTCGATACAATACATATCACAATACAGTGGCAACAATACAATATATCGCAATATATTGCAATACTATGGCAAGACAATATATTGCGTTTCAACAATGGAACATTTGGAATATCTACACCAGGAATATTCAACTGGGAATTGGTGATTAAAAAATCAATAACCGATAGAGGAGATTGATACTGTAATATTATGATATTTCGGTGTATGGATAATTTCTTACACCCCCACCTGTCACCAGCTACAGCAGCCACAGACCAGCAAAGGATCATGGGATAAATGTGTCCCATGATCCTAAATGGTAAAAACCCAGAATGTTTCGTCAACCTGTCTGTGTCTCCGTGTTCTTCCAGCCAACGGTCCCTCCACCCTGGCTCCTCCAACCACACAGAAGAAGCAGGAGAAGGAGGTCACACCAGAGAAGTCCTCTGTCGGGGAGACCGTCTCCAGACCTCGACCCGTGTCCTTCCGGGCCAAGCCTCACGCCTGGGCACTGCTGCGAGGACGCAACAAAAGCTACTCCCTGGGCCATTACTCTGGAGAGAAGACGGCCCAGAACCTGAACGTGGTTCTGTCCTCGGATGTGGGCGTGGCCTGCTCCCTGCTGGACGTGGACACCGAAGGACAGAAACGAGACTGCACCGTTCCGCTCTGCCGCATCCAGAGCTCCCCCGCTCGGCCGTCGGTCTTTGAGCTGGAGAAGGAGTTCCTCTCCTAGGAGTCGCGAGAATCCAGGAGAACCTCCTGCTCTCCTGGATCGTTCCGTAGGATCCACAGAACATTCCAGTGTTTTTCAGCTGGAAGGTAAGAACAACCTTTAATAATATAGTTCCACACTACAGAACCCAGGTCCGTTTTAGTCCTAGGACGGTGACGGTGATCGTTCTGGAGAAATCCCAAAAGTGTCAGACTTCAGCCTGAGTTCTGATCACACTCACTGCCGTTTCCTTGTTCTGGAGGTGACGCCTCCTCACGGTTGATGAAGCTGAGCAGAACTTTGTAGGTGCTTCTCCTCCTCCTTCTCCTCTTCCTCTCCTCACTCCTTGTTTTTCCGTTCTGTTGGTGCAGCTAAAGTCGAGTGCTGTTGCTCCTTCAACACGGTGCCCTCACCTTTTATTTATATATATATTTTTATAGGTAATTTAATGTGGAAAGACTTGATCTTACGTTAGGAACCAGAACATCATTCCATGTCAGAGTTTTTACCTTCAGGCCTTTAGTGTTTTTGTTTTTTTTTTGTTTTTTTGTTTACAACCTGTACCCTAAAAATGTTGAACAAAAAAAAAACAACCTACACTTGTTTTGTCCGTCTGTCCTTCTGCCCAGGTTCAGCCGAAAACCAATGTTACTGTGTTTTGACGTCACTTTTACTGCATGCACATTTCTGAATCACATTTTTCAAACAGTTTTTTTTTAAAAATAATTCGGACTGGGCGCCCATGAAATTGATATTCAAATAATTAGGACTGGGCGCCTGATGCTATGAAATTGATATTCTGATTGGAGCTCTGCGTTTTTTTTAAAAGTATTTTTAGAAAGATTTCTATGAAAGAAACGCTGTATACTATAGACACAATGATATATTGCGGGGGGAGGGGAGGGTTTACCCACTGTAACTTTAGTCCAAGAGTGATCCTAGAGAGACTCTGTTTCATCTGAACATCAGTTCCTAACACTGGAACAGAGGGATCTACATTTGGAATCACTAGAGAAGAAAGAAAAGAAAAAGAAAATGAACCAACACCAGGAATATTGGACTGGGAATTGGTGAGAAAAAATCAGTATCGTGAAACAAAATATCGTGATTTTTCAGTGTATTGATATATTCTCACAGCCCTATATTTGACTATCATGGCTAAGGTTAGCTCTGGTGCTATCGCATTAACTCAGTACTGGAGACAACGTTGGAGTTTTTTGCACACTTTTCTAGGTACCCGGCTCTGACCCCGGCTACCAGGGCATTTTTTTAGAAAAAAATTCTGAATATATTTCCAGCTGTGGTTTGTCGTCCAGGGACAGGTGACAGGCTTCAAATTCTCTTGATTCTCAACCCGCGGGTTCTTTCTGGAATAACTTTACTGCCACCTGTTGACAAAGATCATTTTTTAAAGTATTTTTAGAAAGATTTCTATGAAAGAAACGCTGCCTGAGAGACAGAACCGAGGGCAAATAATACTTCAGCCATGTGTTCCGATGTCAGGAGATCTCTGACTAAACTGAATACATTTATGGTACATTTGCATTTGAATGTATGTTGTTATTTTAATGATTATTTCATTCAACTCCCAGCAGTAATTAACATTTATGATTGACCTCAACGAGGTCGACAGTGTCGGCCAGTAGAACCCCACGCTGCCTGGGGCTTTTTTTAAAAGCCCACTGTAGGTTCATGTAGGCGACCTGTTCTGTGACCTGTGGCCTGAGAAGACCACGTCCAGAAGACGTCGTCTTTTTTGAATCGTTTTTTAAATTCAGTCTTAATTAAGATGAAATGGAGTAGAAGTTCTACTCCACCAGATCCTGTTCTTCAGATGAACAGACGTTAGAACCAGGACTAAAACTGTCCAACGTTACACTTGGTTCTTCTTGGTGGTTCTTGCAGGTTTTTCTGCCAGAATCTAAGGACACGGTCACTCCCGGTCTCCTGGGAAACCAGAACAAACTCCATCACCGATGAGTTTTCGTCTCATCTTCTCACTGCTGCCTTATTGGTCTGTTTTTCCGTGGATTTTGTTCCACGTTGTTTCCCGTCACTCGGCGTCAGATTAATGCTGTAAATAGAATCATGATCCTCAGTCTGTGTTTGTGTGTTTGTTTTTATCACTGTGGCAGCGCATGTTGACGTAGAATGTGAAGAATGAACTGTGTGAACTTCATGTGTACTTCATGACCACTGTCTTTAAAACCAGGTCCGACACTGTAAAGCAGCAGCCGGTGTGAGGTTTTGTTTACGACTCGAGTTGACGCTGGATTTTCTCATTTTTTCTTCTTTTGTTTTTTTTGTTTAAAGAAGAAAAGGTGTGAAAAATATACGATTCTTGTACATTCCTTGTTAAATACTGTGTTCAAAGCTGAACTCCGGCTTTTTCTTCCAGTGACTTTGTTAGCTGGTGATTGTTTTTAAGTTTTTTTTTGTTCTTGTTACATACCTATGATTTCAGCTTCTGCAGCAATAATATCTGTGAAATCATGCATCAGAGCTGCTCTGGGGTTTAGGGACCAAATTCAGGACTTTGACCAAAACCACTTAAAGAAGTAGCTGCTATTGTGGAGTCCTTGGTGAACTAAAAGTCCTCCGTATCTGACAGTTGATAGAAAACCTCAGAGGTGCAGCACAGTCTTTTTTTAAATTGATATCGATCAAACGACAACTCTTCCTTTTCTTCACTGAAACACTGACTGTGTCAGACGAAGCTCTGTCTTCACCCTGTTTTCGTGAAGTTTTTGTTTTAATACAGTATTGGCGATATTATGCCTTATTGATCAAAAGTATCAATTTCTTCAACATTTAAAATAAAGTTTAAATCTATACTTTGATTTGCCTTGATGTGTTTTTACTGAAAATGTCAATGCAGCAAAACACATCCGTACCAGGTGAACTGAGAGGACCCAAACATGCCACACCACTGTGGCATGTTTGGTTCTGTGCTTGTTCATTGTTAGTACTATTTTTGGTCTGATCAATTTCAATTCAAGGTCTTAGGAGCGGAAAGGACCTTGAAAGTGCTGGGAATTTACATGTGAAAATGTGTTTGAACCCTGCTTTCAGAAAACATGGGAAAAATACTGAGGTTTGTCCATGTGACGTATCCAAGTCTGAGTTTAGTTGTTAGCAACTGGACTTCTTCTCGGAGCTTGACAGACATTTCGTTCTTCAACTGAGAAACGTCTGTCCAGCTCCGAGAAGAAGTCCAGTTGCTAACAACTAAACTCCTTGGATAACATGACCTGGATGAATGAGAATCTTCACAGACTCCATGTGATGTACATTTTCTGAAAGTTCTTAGAAAAAGCACCAACTGCAGGTGGTCAGGTCTGGACAGGCTTTTCACCGTCTGAGTTTTAATAATTCTGTCACATAAACTTCCAAAAATAGACAATGATTAAATTCCACTTTATTCTTTTTTTTTTTTTTTTTTTTTGCCAAGACATGTCAGTAATACCATACTGCATAAAACACTGTTGGTAATAGTTACGTACAGCACTGTTACTGTGTATGTTTATGGCTGCAGCCATGGAGGTAGTGATGGACGGGAGATAACGGATGGATGATGACATCACTTGTTGATCTGTTGTGAAGTTAATGTTTTTTCTGCTGGGTAGGAAAAAAGAAGAGGAAAAATCCAATTACAGATTGTCTTAGTAAAATTAGGTAACCAAAGATCACCAGACATTTCATTGTTTACAGTTAGCTAAAGAAAACTTTTCAAATATTCCATTGTACAGTATGCTTAGGTGACTAGAAATCACCAAAATGTCATATTATGGTTGTGACCAAAAATTAAGGTTACCAAAAATCTCCAAAATTTATTAAATTAAATTTTAAAGAAATATACAAAAAATAATAATTATTAAAAATACAAATTAAATTTAAAAAATGAATTAAAACTTAAAATAGAAATACATGAAATTGAATTAAATCTATTAAAAATATTTTTACTAACTTAATTGTTAAATTAGGATTTTGCAGAAGAATTCCAAATTTTATTTTATAACAATTACTCTAAATGCACCATGAGAATTTTATAGAAAAAAAATTCAAAAAATGTTCCCTAAATTCCCTGATTTTAGAAACATGCAAAAAAGAACATTTTTAAAAATAATTTTACAAAAAGCTTCATCAAAATCTTTTATTTTTTGACCAAAAATGACACAATGTTCACATTTTGACAGAAAATTTTTTAGAAAAAAATTTCATAAAATGTTCTCTAAATGCCCCAATTTTATGAGAAACATGCAGAATAACAAAAAAATTTAAAAATAATTTTACGAATTTTTCATCAAACTTTTTAAATTTTTGTCTGAAAATGACACGGAAACTTTATATTTTGACAGATAATTTTATAGAAAAAAAATCAAAAAATGTTCTCTAAAATGCAAGTAAATGCAATATCCTAAAACTGTGAATAAAAAATAGAAATGAATATTTTGTTTTTAAAACTCCAAAAAGTATTTTTTATGAATATTTCAAAAATCCCCCAAAACACGCCTTACTATAGCCTTACCATCGTGAAAAAATCCAAAAAAATAAAAAGTCCCCGAAATGCCTTAAAATGCAAGATTAGGTCCTAAAACATGCTGCCACGTGATTATTCACGAAAGTCTATTTTTTCTGAATTTTAACAACAGAAATGGGCATAGCTAAGTATTTTAAGACAAATGAGTGCATTTTTAGTCATTTTTGAGAAACTTTTTTTTCCGGAGATTTGTTCCGCAAAATATTGGTATGGTATTATACTGTGATTA